AACAGTCAGGGCACTGGGAGCATTATAGGGCAGACATGTTTTCCCTGAAGCCCCCAGGCACTAATGGTCCTGACATCTCTCAGAGTGGCCACCCTGCCAGGTGTCCCAAAGACGCACTTGCTCTCAAGCCCATGAATTGTCCTGCACACTGGTGAGTTGGGATCCTGGAAGCCTGGCTCCTCCTGGGGCTGGGATAACAGGTCACAAAAATGTAAATTAGTAGAAAGTACCTTGGAAAGAATATTGAGGCATCTGATTTGGGTCTTGAATCTACCTACAGTGGACTCAAGTTTACCCAAGTGAATTTTGGGAAATTAGTCCATTTCTTGGGCCTTTGTTTCATTAGGTAATATCAAGGCTCTGTACCCATCACAGAATATGGGCACAGTACATGATACCTGCTCTTGTGTGACTAAGAGTTTAACTTTTTTTTCTAGACAGGGTCTCACTGCAGCTTCAGTTGGCCCCAGACTCACTATGTAGACCAGGCTGGCCTCAAACTCAGAGATCCACTTGTCTCTGCCTGGTAGTATTAAAGGCGTGTGCTGTCATACCCTGCTGAAATTTGACCTTTGACCTGACACTAATGATAGGATTGGCAAGATTTAGTGGGAGAGTGTGCTAAGAGATGGTGATGGCTAGTATTGCATGGTGGCACACAGCGATAAGCTCAGAACTGGGGAGGCAAAGACAGAGAGATCATGAGCTTAAGGCCAGGCTAGGCTACATACTAAGACCTTGTCTCAAAGAAAATGGGCCTAGTAGGAAAAATAACAGTTGGCCTTAGGTCTTTTTCCCTTTGGCCCTAACCCCTTCCCATCCCAACCTCAGCCTGATGTTCGCCCACCGGCCCAGATCCTGGCGGGAACTGCCTGTGCGGCTGGCTGATTTTGGAGTCCTGCATCGTGCTGAGGCCTCTGGCAGTCTGGGAGGATTAACACGCCTATGGCGCTTCCAACAGGACGATGCTCACATCTTCTGTGCACCAAATCAGGTGATTTTCCTTGTTCTTCAAAGGGCTGACTTCCTTTGCCTTTTTAAATTTAACACAGGGTCTTAAGTAGTCTCAAATGTACTATGTAGCTGACAATGACCTTGAACTTCTAGTCCTCCTGCCTTTGAGTAATGGGATTGCTGGTGTGTGCTACCATGCTTGGTTTATTTGGTGTTAGGAATCAAACCCAGGGCTTCGTGCATGCTAGCAAGCTTGCATCTCCAGCAACAAGCAAGCTGCATCTAAGGCTCCAGTTGCCTTCTTATACTGGAGTATAGCTGTCCCTCTGGTCCTGACTTGTTTGTCATGTCATGTGTGGGGGTCGGTCCGTCTGTTCATGTCCCACTTTTCCACCTGTCTCCATTTTTTCCAAAACTACCCATCACCTCAGATTTCTAGTTGGCATACAACTGACATCCTGACTTCCTGTCTCTAGCTGGAAGCAGAGATCCGAGGCTGCCTTGATTTTCTCCGATCTGTTTATGCTGTTCTTGGTTTTTCCTTCCACTTGGCTTTATCTACCCGGCCATCTGGTTTCCTAGGGGAGCCTCACCTGTGGGACCAGGCTGAGCAGGTGAGTAGGAGAAAGGGAAGCAAAGCAGATAAACTGGTCTACAGTAGAGAGGGAGGGATATGGTAGCCAAGATCTTCAGATAAAGGCACAAGGTATGGGTGTTAATTTTCATGGACCAGCAGGATATCTTGCTCATTAGTTCCTGCATGCTCTTCTCATCTTGTTCTTTCTAAGGTCCTACAACAAGCCTTGGAGGAGTTTGGAGAACCCTGGGACCTTAACCCTGGAGATGGCGCTTTCTATGGACCTAAGGCAAGCTGGAGTTGTACTTAGTCTGCTTGTTTAAGTTGTATCTACAAAGAACTGTTTTAAAACTTGTGTAGGATATAAAACAGAGCGGTACACTTCTGCCCTGTGTAGCTTAGAGTTTCATGAAGGCTGAGGTAGGTAAATAGGCCCTGTCAGCCTAGTGGACCTGTGCTGTACAGCTACTGTGAGAGGGCCAGGGGTGTAGCATTACTCTTAGTCTAGGAAAGACCTTCTGTAGGAATCGGTTTCCAGTCTACTCATGAAGAGCTCTCTCTGGAAGGGAATGGTATAGTCAGAGGGTGGAGGGTGGGGTACAAATCCACATAGCAAGTTAGAAGAAATGTAAAAGTATAGGGCAAAAAGGCCTTTGTGTGTGTCTGCTGAATTGACCACAAAGGCTGTTAGGAGTCTGCTGTGGACACTAAGCTGTACTTGCAGTTCCCTGGGAGGTTCAGGTAGGATCACTTGAACCCTGGAATTTGAGGGTAGCAAAAAAAGACTAATCTCAATACCAGGTCAGTAGGAATAAGGTTCAGTGATAGAACAATTTGACAAGTTGCATAGGCTCTCGACTTGATTCCCAGCACCACAAGAAAGAAGATAAGGCAGTGAGACTGCCTTGTGAGTTTAGATGTGTTGACACCTTTTTTGTTTTCTTGGGTGGTCTCATGTGAGCACAGATTGCTTTGGAACTTACTTTATTTACTTATTTTGTTTGTTTGTTTGTTTTTGTTGTTTTTTTTTTTGTTTTGTTTTGTTTTTTCAAGACAGGGCTTCTCTGTGTAGCCCTGGCCGTCCTAGAATTCACTCTGTAGACCTGGCTGCCCTCGAACTCAGAGATTCACCTGCCTCTGCTCCCCAAATGCTGGGATTAAAGGTGTATGACATCACTGCCTGGCCTGTTTGGAACTTTTTGTGTAGCTAGACTGCCCTCCAACTCAACATCCTGCCTCTGCCTTCATAGTGCCAGGATTCCATGTGAGCTCCACCACACCCAGCTTGGGTATTAGGTTTGTTCAGTTTTGTTTTTATAGTTTTGTTTGTTTGTGTTGTTCTTTTTATTTTACTTTTTTTTTTAAAGATTTATTTATTATTTATACAACATTCTGCTTCCATGTATATCTGCATGCCAGAAGAGGACACCAGATCTCATTACAGATGGTTGTGAGCCACCATGTGGTTGCTGGGATTTGAACTCAGGACCTCTGGAAGAGCAGTCGGTGCTCTTAACCTCTGAGCCATCTCTCCAGCCCTGTGTTGTTCTTTTTAAAGATTTAATTATTTATGGGAATTGGAGAGATTGCTTAGCAGTTAAAAGCACTTGCTGCTTTTGCAGAAGATCTGAGTTCAGTTCCAAACACCCATATGTTGGCTCACAATCGTACATTATAACTCCAGTTCTAGGGAAGTGAATGCCCTCTTCTGACCTCTGCAGGCACTAGTCATACATGTGTGCACATGCATACATGCAGGTAAAATATGGATTCACATAAATAAAAATAAAAATTTTTAAGGGGCTAGAGAGATGGCTCAGTGGGTAAGACACTGGCTGCTCTTCCAGAGGACCCAGGTTCAATTCCCAGCACCCACATGGCAGCTCACAACTGTCTGTAACTCCAGTTCCTGGGGATCTGATACCTTCATACCAAAGCACATAAAGTTAAATAAATTATTTTAAAAAAAATTTTTAATGTTTATCTAAGTTCGGTGGTAGTGGTGGCACACACCTTTAATCTCAGCACTCAAGAGGCAGAGTCAGGTGGATCTTTGTAAGTTCAAGTCTAGCCTGGTCTACAGAGTGAGTTCTAGGACAGCCATGTCTACAAAAACCAAAATAATAAAAAAAATAAATAAATATAATAAAATAAAAAAAGATGTATCTATAGCTAGGCATAGTGGCCCATACCTTTAATCCCACTAGCAGAGGAGGGTAGACATCTGTGAGTTCAAGGCTAGCCAGGTCTATATATTGAGTTTAGGCTAGTGAGGGCTACATAGTGAGACTTTGTCTCAAAAACAACCTCTGGAACCTGCATGGTGGAAGGCAAGGACCAATTTCCAAAGGTTGTCCTCTGCCTTCTGCATTTTCATCCCATACGCATACACATACAGTAAATAAGTGTAAAAAAAAAATACTGAATAATCTTGGTACATTCCTATAACCCCACACTCAGGAGACTAAGACAGGAGGATCTTGAGTTCCAAGCCAGCCTGAGTCATATAACAAAACCGTGTCTCAAAATACTAGGGGAAAAAGAATTTGGCTCTTAAAAAGTCAGAGTTGGAGGCTGGATGGTGGTGGCTCACACCTTTAATTCCAGCACTTGGGAGGCCGAGGCAGGGGGATCTCAGTGTGTTCAAAGCCTGGTCTATAAGAGCTAGTTCCAGGACGGCCAGGACTATTACCCAGAGAAACCCTGTCTTGAAAATCAAAAAAATTAAAAATTCAGAAGAGTTGGGGCCTGATCTGGTGGTGCAATGCATGCCTTAATCCTAGCACTTTAATCTTGAGAGGCGGATGAAGCAGATCTCTGTGGATTCGGGGCTACTCAGTGAGACCCTGTCTCAAAAAAAAAAAAAAAAAAAAAACACAAAACAACAACACAAAACAGAGTTGGGCCTGGAGATGGCTCAGTGGCTAAGAGCAGCTGCTGGTCCTGCAGAGGACTTAGGTTTGCTGCTCAGTACCCCTATCAGGCAGCTCATAACTGCCAAACTACAGTGCCAAGAGATCTGGCACCCTCTCCCAGCCTCCATGGTCACACAAACACAAATGGCATTCACTGTACATGCACACAAATAAAGATAATAAATCTTTTTTTGTTGTTGTTGTTTTTTTGTTTGTTTGTTTGTTTTTTAAACATTTATTTATTTATCATGTATACAGTGCAGGCCAGAAGGGGGCACCAGATCTCATTACAGATGGTTGTGAGCCACCATGTGGTTGCTGGGAATTGAACTCAGGACCTCTGGAAAAACAGTCAGTGCTCTTAACCCCTGAGCTATCTCTCCAGCCCCTGATGTTGGTTTTTTTGTTTGTTTTTTGGAGGCAGAGTTTCTTTGTGTAGCCTTGGCTGTCCTGGAACTATCTCTGAAGACCAAACAGGCCTTGAACTCAGAGATCCACCTGCCTTCTTAGTGCTCTTTTTAAAGGTGTGCACCAACATGCCTGGATGAACATAATAACTTTTTTAAAACAAATTTTTTAATTTCATTTTACATTCCAACCACAGTTCTCCCTCCCACCCCAAGAAAAAAACTTATTTTCAATTTTAAGTCAGAGGCATTTAAGTGAGGGCTTGACACTTCTTTTTGTTAAGAAATTTAAAAAGTTCAACAATGCACCCAGGCTATAAAGTTAGCAGTCAGTGATAAACTTTGAATTTTGTTAAATCTAAGATAGTGTTTTATTAAAATGGGGCTGGAAAGATGGTTCTGAGTTAGAGGGCTTGCTATACAGCCATGAGGACCTGAGCTTGGAACCCAGCACACACTTAAGATGCCTGTGATCTCACCCTAGTGTTGTGGGGCGTGGAGATAGGAAGATCACTGGGGGGGCGGAGGAGCTCCAGGTTCAGGAAGAGATCCTCCCTGTCTTAGGTTCTTATCCTGTGCTGTCTGTGATCAGGTACTCTTGACAAAAACTACTTAAGGGAGGAAGGGTGAATCCTGGCTCACAGTTCAGGGGTATAGTCCTGATGAAGCTGATCTCACTGCACCACAATCAAGAACAGAGAGCAATGGATGGACCCAGTGCTGAACTCAGGTTCTCCATTTTATACAATCCAGGACCCCCTCACAGGGAATGGTCCCACACACAGTTAACCTAAGCAACATAGTCCCCCACAAGCATGCTCAGAGGCCCATCTCCTAGGTGAGTCTAGGCCGGTCAAGTTGACAGTGACCATTACACTGCCTCAAAGGAATAAGGACTGAGAACAATAGAAGACCCAGGGTAAGCTTCTATAGCCCCGTGCACACACGTGTGTACACAGGCATACACAGATAAAAGAAACCTGATAGTGGTGGTGCACGCCTTTAATCTCAGCAGCTGGGAGGGAGAGGCAGATGGAGCTCTGTGAATTTGAGGCCAGCCTGGTCTGCAAAGTGAGTTCCAGGACAACCTCCAAAGCTACACAGAAAAACCCTGTCTCAAAAAAAAAAAAAAGAAAAAGGAAAAACTATGGCCAAGAGAGGAAAGAATGTGAAAATCCCTAAGGAGAATAGGCAAAATGCTGATGAGGGCAGCCAAGGGATTGTAGAAGACCAGCTGAATCTTGAAACCGATTTCCGTAGTGGCATCAGTCTCTGCTTTGGCCTGTGACATGTTGGGTGGCACTGAGCAGTTCTTCTGTAAGGCTAAGGAGGTAGGAGAATAGAAGACTTAGTGGGTAGAATTTGCCACATTGATCTGACAGCAAAACAGCAAGGGAAAGGAAGGGAACTAGAAGAGGTCACAGCTGAGTAGAGCGGAGAATGGGGGGCATGGAGGGGCCTGTGGATGAGAAAAAAGGAGCTGCAGATCCAGTGGTGGAGGATTGAGTGATCAGACTGAGCGATAGACTCAGAAGTCAGCCATGAGGGAGATGGCAGGATATCGGGTGTAGGTCTCTAAGATGAAGAGTTTGGGGAGGTGGAGAGGAGGGGAGCAGTGTGGGTCATCAGGTCAGCTCTCCGTCTAGCCTGAGACATGGGTAGTAGAGGCGATAGCTGCTGAAGATATTGGAGGCTGTTGGGTCTGATGTCTCTCCCTCTCCCTTCCCTCTCCTCTAGATTGATGTGCACCTCCATGATGCCCTGGGTCGGCCCCATCAATGTGGAACAATCCAGCTTGACTTCCAACTGCCGCTGAGATTTAACCTACAGTACAAGGGGTATAGAACCTCAGCCCTTTCTGCTTTTGCCCACTCCCCAGACTGGTCCAACCCCTGCCCCACACCCTACCGCATCAGAGATGTTTCCTGATAACTGAAAGATGATTCAGGATGCTCAGTTTGTGGCACTCCAGCATTCCATTCCTTCCCCTTTTCCTTCCAAGGCAGATGGGGGCCCTGGAGCATCCGGTCCTTATCCACCGAGCAGTGCTTGGTTCTGTGGAGAGGATGTTGGGAGTGCTGGCGGAAAGCTGTGGGGGAAAGTGGTGAGTCACTGACACCAGAGTTCTGTCCTCTCTCCAGCCACCCAGTTCACGCCTTAGGTTCTGGCCTTATCCTGTGCATTTCCTTCCCACATCTCCCTGTAGTCAGTGAATAATTTCCTCCCGTATCTTCCCAACAGGCCCCTGTGGCTGTCCCCATTCCAGGTGGTAGTCATCCCTGTGGGGACAGAGCAAGAGGAATATGCCAGGCAGGTGAGTTGAGGACAAGGGGGAGAGCAAAAACAGGAAGAGGAGGGCATCTGACCCCCATCCTTGGGCAGGAGAGGCTCTTCGGGATAGTAGGAAGGGCCTGAGTGGCAGCTGTCCTGTGTGCTGAACATTCCGTATCTCAGAAACAAAGCCAATTCCTGCCTTGTACAGATGTGTGAAAAGCAGTTAATAGATGCTTAATATTGCCAACAGAGCACAACTGTGTTGATTTAGTTTTCCTTTCTAAAGAGAATTGCTGGCCAGGAATAGTAGCACACACACAGCACCAGTGCTTGGAAACTGAGGCAGAAGGGTCACAAGTTTGAGTCCAGCCTGGGCTTCATAGTGAGACCCTTTTTCAAAAGTTAGAGGTTGGGTCTAGGGATGTAGTTCCGATGGTAGCATATTTATCTGCTATGCACAAAGCAGCCAGTTCAGTCCCCAGCACACCATCCAGGTGCATGCTGCAATCCTACCACTTAGGAGGCAGAAACACAAGCATCCAAAAGTCCATGTTCATCCATGGGTCCATAGCCTGAGCTGCATGAAGTTGTCTTTTAAGGAAATTAAGAATATGGAAAGTGCTAGAGTTAGTTAAACAGCTGGTTGGGACGGTGGTTGCCTAACAGCAAGCAGAGCCCAGAGAATAATTGAAGGTTCATTCAGTGAGAAGCTCACAATTTGTTGTGTATCAGGGATGGGAAGGAGGCCTCAGTGTCTCAGAAGAGAGTCGGCAAACACCTGAGAGAGCTGAGGTGGGAGACGAGGCAAGTGACTGAGAAGAATAGTGGCCACCTGTCATAGCTCAAACTTACACTGAAGTTGACTCATCACCAGCCGAGTGATGGCGGCACACACCTTTGATCCCAGGACTGGGGGGAGTGGGGGGCAGGTGAGTCGAAGGCCAGCCTGGTCTACAGAGTGAGTTCCAGGACAGCCAGAGATAGACAGAGAAATCCTGTCTCCAAAAAAAAAAAAAAAAAAACAGAAAAGAAAAAAATAAGTTTACCCATCACAAAACCTATGTTCCAGGTACAACAATGTCTACAGGCTGCAGGGCTCGTCAGTGACCTCGATGCTGACTCTGGACTGACCCTCAGCAGGAGAATCCGCCGGGCCCAGCTTGCCCACTACAATTTTCAGTTTGGTAAGAGAAGGTTAGCTTTGGACCTCAGAGCCCCAGGCTCTGCATTCTCTGTATTAAATCTATTGTTTGGCTCTGTGTACATTGAATTAATTGGGGCTCATTACCTGCGCTGGGTAGGAGCCTGACTAACCTGCCTCCCTTCCATTGCTCCTTCCCACAACCTCCTCCATCCCTCACAACAGTTTTCTTCTCATTAACCCTCCCGTAGGATGTTTCTGTTAAGTTAATTAACCAAGCAAACCTCAGAGAGAAAGGGACAGCAGAGGGGTAGGAAGACATTAATTGAAGCCAGGCGTGGTAGGCACACCTCTAATCCCAGGATTTTGGAGGTGCATGCAGGAGGATCAAAAGTTTGAAGCTGGTCCGCACTATATGTAGGAAGATTATCAGTAAACCAAGTGCCGGGCTTGTAGCTCTGTACTGAAGCATGGGCTTGATCCCAGCACCAAAAACCATTCAAGGCATTAATGAATTAGCCTTGTTTATTGTTGTGTGGGTGGAGGCAGCTCCAGGGGACAAGAAAGGCCTTGAGGAAGGAAGTGGCTCCTGGCTGTTGGGTATCTGAAGGCAAGAAGCAGAAGCTCCCCGGCCAGACCGCCTGACTGGGAATCACAGATGCCAGTTGTCTTGCCCACACTAAGAGCAAGCTGCCACAGCCCCTCCCTGACCCCTTCCCCCCACACCCCGTTTTCCCCTTCCTGTATTGTACCCCTCCCCAGGTCACACACACATTTTTCTTTGTGTGTGGCTCTGCATCTGTTTGTCTTTGACTCTCCAGCCCTGGTCTCCTGACCCGTAATGGTAAGGGGAGCGGGGTCTAGATCATTCCCTTACCTCCTCACGATGGACAGACAGCAGCAGAGCAAGCACAACTAAACGTAGACTTCTCTAAGCCATGTCTAGGTTCTACTCCCACCCTTTCTAAAGACCAGGACTCTGAAGTTTCTGGAAAGCAAAAGGAAATCCTCCATGGGGTGAATTCCTCCTGGTTTACAGTTCTTTCCTCTTCCTGCAGTGGTTGGCCAGAGAGAGCAGAGTAAGAGAACTGTGAACATACGGACTCGAGAGAACCGGCAGCTCGGGGAGCGAGGCTTGGCCGAGTCTGTGCAGAGGCTGCTGGAGTTACAGAACGCCAGGGTCCCCAATGCCGAAGAAATGTTCTGAGTTTGTTCACTGGTGAGGCATAGACTCATGAGAGCTGCCTATCCCTTACCATAGGAGTTCCTAGCCCAACTGGCAGCCCAGAATGTCCCAGACTCCTCAGATAGCTTTCCTGAAAATGCACTTGGTTTGAGGGGCTGTGCACTGGAAGGAATGCTGTACTGTTTACATAGGAGGAGAATAAAAAATAAACTTGAAGCCAAGCCTGTGTCTTCATCTGACTCCAAATGGGAAGGGGGCTCCTGTGTTGTCTTCCTCTTGCCCCAAGGCTGAGGAAAAGGAGATAGTGAGGAACTGCCTGAGGCAGCCATTCCCCACCCGAGAGTAAACCCACTCCCGCTGAGGAGTCTGTCAGACCCTTCTCTGCAGAGGACAGTGTACACATGTAGCGCTGAGGCACAGACTAAGGATCCACATGTCAGCTTGCTCCATGATTCTCTGCATCTGCTTTGGGGTCCCGTGAATGCTCCCTCCCATCACCTCCATTACTCCCAGTCTTCCAAGGAGGCTCCAGGATGAGTTTGAGGGGAGTGGCTGTGAGAGGAGGAGCAGCTGGTACTGAGTCATGGCAGGAAACAGGAGGGCGGGAGATAGCATATAAAGGGCGACAGCAGGCCTTGAAGTTCACAACAGCAGTAGCAGCATTGAGAGGAGCAGGCTTGCAGCAACTGGCCCAAACCTTCAAGTCCAGATCTACCTGTGACAAGCTTCTGGGTGACCAGTGACCAGTTCTTGCCCCAGGATGGGGACCATATCCAGAGCAGCCTTGATCTTGGCCTCTTTGGCCCTTGCTTCTGTTGCCTCTGCAGGAGGTGAGTCAGGGTGGGGTAGCAGTTGCTTAGGAGCCTGGCTCCAAATAGCTCATCACCAGTTGGCTTCTGAGCCTTTTTATGGACATGCTCACAGTGGGGCTAGGGCAGAAGAGGGATGGCTGGAGATAGTTGCTAAGAAATACAAAAACTGGAGCCAAATAGACAACACAGGACAGGTGAATTTACAGGCTAAGGGGCCTGGAGATGTCTGAGGAGGGAGTTGTGAGGCAGGTGAGGAAGAAAGAGAGGCCCTCAGGCTGCTCAAAACCAGTCTACTGACCCAGGGAGTCTTGACTCACTAGTTAGAAGTCGAGTTAGGGATATCCACATTCACCCTCTACCAAGCATATACACACTGCTTTGGAGCATGAACAAAATGGAATGCCCACTCTAGATAGGAAGTCAGATGGCTAAAGGAGGGCCAGTGAGATGGCTTAGTATGTAAAGGCACTTGCCAAGCCTGGTGACCTGAATTCAATGCCAGTAACCCACATAGGAAGGAGAGAATTGACTTCCACAGTGGTCCTCTGATCAGCACACACTCAGGAACACTTAGCTGGGCTTTCTACTCGAAGTCCCTTTTTGAAAGGCCTGCAGGAGGAGGTTTGGGGAGAGGTGGGTCCCCTGAAAGCTAGAGGAGCATCAGGGCAGTGGCTATGGGGGGACAGCCACAAGCCCCAACCAAAGGAGATAGTGAGGGAAGACATTTACCTCCCTTCCCAGCCACACGCCACATTCCCTTTAGAAACAAACTCAGATTTTCTCAGAGCCCAGGCACTCACATCAAGGTTGGCATGGGAGTAAAGGGAACAGGTCACACAGTAGCTCCCACACAGTGGGCTTTTTACATTCTCGGCCCCCATGGCCCCGCCATCCTGCTTAGGACCAAGAGAGGACCTCTCAAAACTGCCTATGACTTGTTCTTTCTTCCTCCAGCCTCCAAGCCTTCAGAGCAGAGAGAGATGAAGCCAGAGAACCTCTTCCTGCACCTTCATGAAGGTGAGAGCCTCCTGCCCAAGAACTAACCAGGTCCAATGACAACAGAAGCTGTAGTGTGGAGGGAACAAGCGTGGCGGGGGAGGGGGGGTCTAGGAGGAGTTACAGGCTCTGACTGTCTGCCCTCTTGTCTCTAGTGGGCTATGCAGCACCCCCTTCCCCACCACAAACACGGGGACTCCGAGTGGATGACCACTTTGAAACTTCTCTTCATGACTCTCTCTTTGAGGGACAAAGGGAAGGTAAGGCCACCACAAGCCCTCAGTTGCCCTGAGCGGCATACTTCCTACTCTTCAGGTGGGGAAGAAGGGCCCCCCCACCCCACTGCTGTCTGGCTAGAAGGGGTAGACTGCTCACACTGCCCATTCTGTAGTGGAGCCCCCTGCGTCTCCGGAAGTGCCCTTTGTCCAGGAAGAAGAGTGGCCGGCTTCCCCCAAGTCTGTAAAAAGTGAAGGTGGGTGCTGTCCTAGCCCTTTGCCCATCCCACCGTGCTCTTCTTGCTGGCACCTGTCTGATCTCCATTCCCTTGTGCCTTCACCCGTCTTGCAGTGGGTCCTCCTACCCCTCAAGAAGCCATCCCCCTGCAGGAAAAACAGCCCCCTCCCCAAGTCTCGATTGAACAGAAGGAAAGTAAGTGACCCGCTTTGCTCCAGAGCGAGGGAGGGCCTTGGAGGCCCGGCGGGGTGGGGAGCTCTGAGCTTGTCTGGCGGCGGGGTGGGGAGCTCTGAGCCTTATCTGGCAACAACGTAGCCCTGGGTTTGTTCCCCAGCACCACAACAAATGGTTGTGGCAGCAGTGGCCTGTAATCCCAGCTCTTGGGAGGAGGCACGAACATCAGATGTTGAAAGGTTATCCTCCACTTCATACAGAGTTCAAGGCTAGCCTGTGGGTACATGAAGCCTTTCTTTAAAAAGAGAAGGGAAGGAAGGTAGGAAGTAATGCCTATTCCATAGGTATAGGATTAAATGATATAAAATAGCATTTGTTTTCTACTTGCTCCTCTACCGAGCTTCTTCATGCATGGGAACTAGGAGGTGCCCATCCCAACACACCTTTTGCTTACACACATCTCCTTCTACCCAAGTAGACCCATATGCCCAACAGCAGGAAGAGTTCATCCATACCGGGCAGAAAGAGGGTGAGTGATAGCACTTGTCTGTCCCTCCCTGCGCATTAGCCCTCAGGCTCAGACCCCTGGAGAGAGAAGCAGCCCCTGAGCCTCAGGAAGGAGCTAATGCAGCCTGAGCACTCCAGGTTCGTGGTGTAGTTACCTTCCCCTTTCAGTGACTGACGGTAAGGAGCCCAGATTAGCTTCTTGTTTCCCACACATGCTCCCGACCCTTTCTCTTCAACCCAAGGTCTTCCAATTCTTCCAGCTCATCCAACCTTAGCGTACCCCTCCCCACTGTTTTCCCTGTTCTAGAGAAGCCAGCCCCTTCCGTGGTCCAGGGTTCTCCAGGACCTCGATCTTGGAATCCAGCCCAGCACTGCCAACAGGGTCGGAGAGGTGGCTGGGGCTACCGGCTGGATGGCTTCCCTCCTGGACGGCCTTCTCCAGACAATCTGAACCAAATCTGCCTTTCTGAGCGTCAACACGTGGTGTATGGTCCCTGGAACCTGCCACAGACTGGCTACTCCCACCTTAGTCGCCAAGGAGAGGCCCTCAATTTGCTGGAGACTGGATATTCCCGCTGCTGTCGCTGCCGCAGCCACACTAACCGCCTAGATTGTGCAAAGCTTGTGGTAAGAGTTTGACTGCCGGTGCCGGGGGTTGTCTCAGCCTCCAGACAGTGTGTGTGTGTGTGTGTGTGCATGCATGTGTAACTGCCTGCGTGCGTGCTTAAGGGCTAGACACTTCACCCTGGCTGCAGAGGAGCCTCGGGTCTTTTTCACTGGCTCTACCTCAAAGGCCTCCCCGGTATGTCCGGAGAGCACGGGACAGCCATGCTGCTTTCTTTATCTGACTGGGGTCCCATTCCTGGAACCTGGGAGGAAGGCAAGAATATGGACGATGGATTGCTGGGCTGACCTGCCCCTCTCACTCTAGTGGGAGGACACAATGACCAGATTCTGTGAGGCCGAGTTCTCTGTCAAGACCCGACCCCACCGGTGCTGCAAACAGCGGGGGGAGGAGCGATTCTCTTGCTTCCAGGAGGAGGCTCCTCAACCACACTACCTGCGCCAGCCCTGCCCCACCCACCAGACTGGCATGTCCTCGGGGCCCCAACTGCCTTTCCCCCCGGGGTTGCCCACTCTGGACAATGTCAAAAACATCTGTCTCCTGAGACGCTTCCGCTCTGTGCCACGAAACCTCCCAGCTACTGACCCCATCCAGAGGCAGCTGCAGGCTCTGACCCGGCTGGAGATGGCGTTCCAGCGCTGCTGCCGCCAGAGCCACAACCACACCTGCCTGCGGAATGCTGTAAGTGGGCATCCCAGCCACCTCAGAAGCCTGTCTGCCTGCCCACCTGTCCACCCAGCTCCGACTGCTGACTCTACAGCCATCCATCCATCCATGTTCTTCCCCATGAGCACATCTGCATCCGTCTGCTTGTGATTGTCCGTCCGTCCGTCCATTGTGTCTGTCGTCTGAGTCTGTTCACCTTGAGTCTTCGTGCTGTCATCCTGGGCTCGCCCACCCGTGACCCCACACATGCATCTGTCTGCCTTCCATCCAGCCGTCCAGCTCTGGCCCCAGCTGCCCTCTGTACCTACTGTTGCAGCTCATCTCCAGTGGCCAACTAAGCACTAGGCTGTTCTTCCCTCCCTCCCACCGTCCCAGGCCACACATCTGCAGCTGTCTCCAGCGCTCTAGTCCTTCACCCACCCTTCTGGGGCCTCGTCTCATAGATGACAGTGATAAGGTGTGGTGAGGGGAAGGGGTCCATAGCCAGGCCTCTGACTTCTCTCTCTCTGGTCCACAGTGGGAAGATACCCTGGATGAATACTGTGATCGGGAGCTGGCTATAAAGACCCACCCCCACTCATGTTGCCACTACCCTCCTAGCCCAGCCCGTGATGAGTGCTTCTCCCGCCGGGCTCCCTATCCCAACTATGACCGGGATATCTTGACTCTTGACCTCAGCCGAGTCACCCCTAATCTCATGGGCCATCTCTGTGGAAATAGAAGAGTTCTCACCAAGCAGTGAGTCTTACCTAACTCTTGACTGTCCAAACCTCCTCCCTCCTGGGGTGCTCTTGGGGAAAACAAAATCATAACCTCCCAGAACCATTTGGATAGTTTGTGTGTGGGGTATTTTATTTATTTATTTGGTTTTTTGGGGCAGGGTTTCTTTGTGGCTTTGGAGGCTGTCCTGGAACTCACTCTGTAGGCCAGGCTGGTCTGGAACTCACAGAGGTCTGCCTGCCTCTGCCTCCTGAGTGCTGGGATTAAAGGCATGCGCCACCCGGTGGGGGTGGGGTGGGGGAGTATTTTAAAAGAATTGTCACTCTGAGGTCAAGGCTGGTCTTGAACGGAACCAATCCTCCTGCCTCAGTACCCCAAGTAATAGGCATAAGCCACTGTCTGTGGCCCTGAGAGCCTTTGGATGCTACAGACTGCCCAGACCCTGACTCCTGCCTCTCTCATACCAACCATAGTAAACAGATCCCTGGACTGATCCAGAACATGACTGCCCGCTGCTGTGTTCTGCCCTTCCCAGAACAGGCCTGCTGTGGCGAAGAAGAGGTCAGTGTGTGGGGAGAAGGCTGAGTTAGAGGTGGCCCTTCTTTTTAGTCCTTCAACCCTGTCACAGAGGTCAGAGGAGGAAAGAACCAGGCCTTTCTCAGCCTTCCAGATGCCTTCCCTCCTGACTTGACCTTGATCCCTGCCCTGGGCCTCAAATGTCTGGCATTTCCAGATGTGCACATCTGTCCATCAAAAGGAATCTTGCTGTGCTGGAGAAGCTTGCATAGTCTCTAGGCTTCAGGAGGAAATCCAGCAAGCAAGCAGCAGACGATGACCAAAGGAAGATCTAGGGCCCCCTCCCCAATTATCTCTGCTTTACATTCCCTTTTCAGAAACTAGCTTTCATAGAGGATCTCTGTGGTCCCCGAAAGAACTCCTGGAAAGATCCTGCCCTCTGCTGTAACCTGTCTCCTGGGGACGAACAAGCCAACTGCTTCAATACCAACTACCTGAGAAATGTGGCTTTAGTGTCTGGAGACACTGGGGATGCCACTGGCCAGAGGGAGCAGGACCCAACTGGAGAAACAAATGTCAACCCCGCCCCTGGGTCCAAGGAAGAAAAATGAGTCACCCTGAGCCTCGGAGGATTAGATGGAGGAACCCCACCCTACTCCACCCTCCTTGAACACTCATTACAATAAATGCCTCTTGGATTTGGCATCCTCATTGTCCTTAACGCACAAACACGCCCTCCTAAACTCCCAAAGCCTAGCCCAGTGCCTTGTCTCCACTCTGAACAGGAGGTGTTCCTCAGGCGGTCGGACCATAGCTAAAAGGCTTGCCTTCACTCGTCATCATGACCTTAATCAAGTATTTTAAAAGAATACCACCCCAGTAACATGCTGTTGGGATTCAAAGTGAAAAAGATGGAGTCCATGTTTTTGATGAGCCACAGCCCAACTGGCATTTTAATTTTGCTGTGCTCAGGATGGAGTCGGCCTCTTGACAACCAAACATGTTCTTCCACAGAGCTATGTCCCCATGTCCCCAGCTCAGGTTGTGTGGTCTCTCTGCACGTGTGCATGTAGGCGTGCAGACATATGGTGGGGAGGCCAGATGTCCTAATCTGCCGTCTGTCTATGCTCGTCACCTTGTTGAGGCAGGGTCTCTCACTGAATCTGGAATTCATTCAGTGGCTTCCGAGCTGACCCAGCTGAGCTCTGAGGCTCCTCAAGGGTCCACCTGCCCACTGACTCACAGGCCCACACCAGCACCTCTGGCTTTCATTTAGGGCTAGAGATCCCATCTCAGTGGCAAGCACTTACCTACCATCTCCCAGCCCCAATCTGGCATTTTAAATCACTTTCAACCCTTAAGAGTTCCCACTTTGGCTCATTATCAATTTGCTGAACCACCATTTATGATCATGTAAGACTTGGAAAATACACATTTTAAAAACACAGCCTCTGCCCTGATCATTCACAGTCCAAGAACCTGTTCGTACTCATGACAAGTGTTGTACAGGGTGCCAGTATGTTCTGAGTGGGGTGGGGTTGAGCTTCAGACAGCCCATGGCACTGGCATAGTCTCTTACTCTTTGGTGGTCCTCCTTGGCTAGCTGGATACAAGGCCACTGGGAGTTCAGAGCAAAGGATGTGCCCTGATGATGAACCAGACAAGGGCAGTGACGGGGACCTCCAAACCCTCCGAAGCTGCCCCACAACCCTGAGCCTTGAGGCTGGGAATGAAAGAATACTCCTGGGGACAGGGGTCCTCTGTGACCAGGGTGGCAGCACATCTTTCCAGAGCCACAGACTTCCGAGTCCCAGTTCTGGCAGAAAGGGTGCACCACGGCCGGTCATGCACCCTGGCTAGGATCCAACCCACACCAGCCGCTTCCTGCCCCACCACAGCCTTCTATTTATTTATTTATTTATTTTTTGGTCGGTGGTTGTTCCTAAGCAACTACTTAGCAGATCCTTCCTGTCTGTCAGCGCTAGGGCCAATAAGCAGGCAGTCGTTGCTCATCGCCCCACCCCAGCCCCTGTCCTGAACTCAAGAGCTCCAGTACGCCTGCTCAGAAGTCTCACGCATTCTGACCAGAGTGAGTGAGTGAGCTGGGGAAACCAAGTCACACCTGATGACACTTCTGTCTTTAGCCGGCTGTAGCACAGCTCCATGTCGAAGTCCCTGGCCGCCCGCGGTGGTTCACAGTGTGTTGGGAGGAGAGAAGGGAAGTAGAAAGAATAGTAAGAAGAAGGAACCAGATAAGGGCTAAGACGCAAGCCTTGTTAGTAACGAGGCAGTGAGTTTGGACAGCATAAAGTTGCTGTTACCAAGGAAAAGGGGAAGTGTTAAAATTAAAGCAATTAGATGTGAAAATAAACTATTAAGATAGAATTTAGCCGGGCGTTGGTGGCTCACGCCTTTAATCCCAGCACTCGGGAGGCAGAGGCAGGTGGATCGGATCTCTGTGAGTTCGAGACCAGCCTGGACTACAAGAGATAGTGCCAGGACAGCCTCCAAAGTCACAGGGAAACCCTGTTTGAAAAAAACAAAAAAAAAAAAAAAAAAAAAAAAAGAATTTAAACAGGGTGGTGGTCCACACTTTAATCCCAACACTCAGAGGGCAGAGGTGGGTGGATCTCTGAGTTCAAGGCCAGCCTGGGCTATAGAGCAAATTCCAGTTCAGCCAGAACTACACAGAAACCCTGTCTTCAAGAACTGAAGAAAAAAAATTTAAGTTTATGGAAGACACAGGAGAGCTCTTGAGGAGAACTGAATTCCACAGAACAGTTAAAGCTTAAGGGGCTAGGGAGAGGCTCAGTGACTAAGAATACTGACTGCTCTTGCAGAGAACCGGGGTTCAATTCCCAGCAGCTCACAACTGTCTGTAACTCCAGTTGCATGGGATCAAATACCCTCTCTGGCTTCCATGAATACTAGGCATACATGCAAAGAACAGACATACATGCAGACAAAACATATAAAAAAGCTAAATTACATTTGTTTGTTTGTTTTTTCGAGACAGGGTTTCTCTGTGGCTTTGGAGGCTGTCCTGGAACTAGCTCTTGTAGACCAGGCTGGTCTCGAACTCACAGAGATCTGCCTGCCTCTGCCTCCCGAGTGCTGGGATTAAAGGCATGCGCCACCACTTGGCCACTTAATTTTTTTAAAGGTTTATTTATTGTGTATAGTGTTCTGCCTGCATGTATCCCTACAGGTCAGAAGAGGGCACCAGATCTCATTACAGATAGCTGTGAGCCACTATGTGGTTGCTGGGAATTGAATTCAGGACCTCCAAATGGGCAGGCAGTGTTCTTAATCTCTCCAGCCTAACACTTTAATTTTGTTTTGTTTTGTTTTTCGAGACAGGGTTTCTCTGTGTAGCTTTGGAGCCTATCCTGGCACTTGCTCTGGAGACCAGGCTGGCCTCAAACTCACAGAGATCCACCTGCCTCTGCCTCCCGAGTGCTGGGATTAAAGGCGTGCGCCACCAACGCCCAGCCTAACACTTTTAATTTTAATAGTTCATTAAAGTAATCTAAGCCTCAATTATCCACTAGACTTGGAAATTAGTTTCATGTCTACTAGGTAGAAATAGAGGATGGGTTCCATGATCCTAAGCACACAGATCTTTGTTTCAAGATGAGATCTATGCTTAAATTTGAATAAAATTCATTTTTATAATTAAAAAAACATTGTGGCTCAAAAAAATGGTAATAGCTGGGTGGTGGTTGCACACGCCTTTAATCCAAGTACTCAGGAGGCAGGGACAGGCAGATCTCTGTGAGTTTGAGGCCAGCCTGGTCTACACAGCAAGTTCCAGGACAGTCTCCAAGGCTACACAGAGAAACCCTGTCTCAAAAAAAAAGTATTCATGAAATGCAATAAAGCAAAGAACAATAAAATGGACACATAATAATAATAATAATAATAATAATAATAATAATAATAATAATAATAATAATAATAATAATAATAATAATAATAATAATAATAATAATAATAATAAACGGCCTTGGTAGAGCACACCTTTAATCCCAGCACTCAGGAGACAGAGGCAGGTGGATCTCTGTGAGTTCGAGGCCAGCCTGGTCTACAGAGCGAGTGCCAGGATAGGCTCCAAAGCTACACAGAGAAATCCTGTCTTGAAAACCAAATAAATAAATAAACAAATAAAATAACAATAATAATACAATAAAGTGGGGGGGGTGCATGTCTTTAATCCCAGCACTCAGGAAGCAGAGGCAGGCGGATCTCTGAGTTCAAGGCCAGCCTGGTCTACAGAGTGAGTTCTAGGACATTCAAAGCTGTTACACAAAGAAACCCTGTCTTGAAAACCAAAACAAATAAATAATAATATAAAAATAAAGAGGTCAGGGAGTGGTGGCCCATACCTTTAGTCCCAACATTTGGAGGCAGAAACTGGTGTATCTTAGTGAGTGTGAGGCCAGCCTGGTCTACAAGGTGGGTTTGAGGCAAGACAAGGTACTCAAAACAAAACAAAAATGAAGAAAGGAAAGAAAGAAAAAAAGGGAGAGGAGAGGAGAGGAGAGGAGAGGAGAGGAGAAGAGAAGAGAAGAGGAAAGAGACCCAAGGGTTGGTGGTGTGGCTCGTGGCATCACATCTGCCTGAAGCTGGTGTTTACTGCCCGAGCCCAGCACAGACACCAGGCAACCGCCCTGCCTCCCTTACAAGGAGACATTGTAGTAGGTTCCTGAGCCTGATCCAATTAAGCCACTTCCAAAATTCCCAAGCACCTAATCTCAGTAACATTTTGCTGTTTCCATTTACTTAGAGTTATGCTGATTAGCTACATAGAAATATTTCAAAATATATCACAAACCTACTGAAGGTTTTACATTCATGTATTTGTTACTTTTAAGTTTATTTTACTTAGAGACAGTTTAACTATTTAAGATTGGCTGGCCTTGAACTTGTGATCCTCTAGCCTAAAGGGCATATGAGCTGGAATTTTAAGTATGGACCATGCCTGGCTCTCTGTTTTTTGTTTTTAAGGCAAGGTTTCGCCATATAACCTTGGCTGTCCTGGAACTCACTCTGTAGATCAGGCTGTTGTCAACCTCAGAGATCCACCTACCTCTGCCTCCCAAATGCTGAGATTAAAGGTTTACACCAACTTCTGTTTCATAATTGTTTTTTTAAAAGTCCTGTTTAATCCGAATTTCTTTTTTAAAAAATAATTTAACTTTATTTTATGTGCATTGGTATGATGGTGTCAGATCCCCTGGAACTATAGATACAGACAGTTACAAGCTGCCATGTGGGTGCTGGGAATTGACCCCAGGTCCTCTGGAAGAGCAGCCAGTGCTCTTAACCAATGAGCCATCTCTCCAGCCCCTTAACCAGAATTTCTAATCTTTATGGTTTTTGTAAAAAAATTTTTTTCTGTGGGAATTTACAAATATTCATAAAATTTTAAAGTGCTTTTAACTTGAAGTTCACAGCATCTCTTGATTTTTTTTTCTTTGAGATAACTCTAATGTAAACCAGGCTAACCTCAGCTTGCTACACAGAGAGAACCAACTTCAAATCCTAACTCCCATCTCCACCCTCAGGTGTTAGGATAGCAAGCATTCACTGCCACTGTTGGCTGGTTTCTTCTTAAATGTTATGGACTAACCAGACATAGTGGTGCATGCCTTAATCTCAGGCAGAGGTAGGAGGCAGGCGGATCTCAGTGAGTTCCAGGACAGCCAGGGCTATACAGAGAAACCCTGTCTCAAAAAAAACAAACAAGAAAAGAAAGAAGGAAGGAAGGAGCCCAACTTTAGTTACTCAGGAAATAAGTCTAAATTGGATAAGGAAACCTCATGAAATTAAAAGGCTTTTGTAGAGCAAAGGAAAGAGTCAGGAGACAGCCTGCAGGTGGGAAAGAGTCTTTTCCAGTTATACATCTGACAGTGGATTAATATCTAGAATACACAAAGAACTCAAGGAACTAAACAAGTGGCCAACCCACCCAAGGAATGGACTTGTGAAATGAACAGACCAGACCGGTCTCATGGAACACAAATGCCCAAGAATATGGAAAATGCTTAATCTTCCTGGCCATCAGAGAAACACAAGACAGAACCACTTTGAGATTCCATCTCGCCCTAGTCAGAATGGTAGTCATTAAGAAAACAAACAATACCAGTGTTGGCAAGGATGTGGACAGAAAGGAACCTTATACACCACTGGTGGAGCTGAAAACTAGTCCTGCCAGTGTGGACATCAGGACGGAGGAGTCTCAGAAAAGTGAGAACAGTTCTTCCTATGACACAGCTGTTATACTCATGGGTGTTTCAACACGTCAGAGATACTTGCTCACTGATGTTTATTGCAGCACTGTCCACAATAGCCAAGTGATGGAACCGACCTAGGTGTCCAACAACAGAGGACTAGATAAGGAAAACATGGAATGTGCTTGTGAGGGCCACACGTGTGCTCTAGCAC